GAGGTTGTTTCGTAATACAATTTTGACAAATGTCTTATCGTGGTGTTATTTCTCCAAAGGTTTGATCACCTTACCCCATTTGGCAAAATCGACATTTTATTGCCACATGTTGCAGTGTACCACCCAGTTGTTGTAACGTTATTGGCATATGCATATTTTTTTTTTTTTTTTTAATTGAGCTTTATTCCAATCGGCGTGCTTGTACATACATGGCCAAAGATGGATAAAACATTTCTTACAGGGAAATGATTGTTTTTTTTTGTTTTTTTTTTCAAATTACATTTGTAACGCTATAGGTGAGGTGATAATGAATCAAAATCGAAAAATATTTCCTTAGCTTTTGTTCCATTAAGTTAAAGTTATGAGGAGGACGGGGATTTTACTATTGCGCCCTTCTTGAGAAGACCCCCAAAGGTCGAGTAGTTTTCATCTTAGTAATGCCATTTGAAAGCTCCACAACGTAAGGTACAAACACGCACACACACATATGTATTTATTTTATTCTTTACAATATGAGGAATAAAAAAGAAACTCATACCTTTGCGCGCATAGCACTAGTGAAATGGGCTACCTATATTTTCCAGCGATTTAAGTGTCACCCATTTTTTTTCAGGTGCTGTTATGTAAGTACATCCCCACGTACTTGGTCAAGTGTGTGCACCTAAAACGTGGCTGTTCCTCGTAACGTCATCTTATAAGCTCCTACTTGCGAAAGGGCTACATAAAAGACACAAACGTATTAGTAAGAATTGCATGACACTTTTATGGTCACGTGTTAAAGCTTCCTATTACTGCGAAGGTCACTATCCGGTAAAGGAGGAGGACGTATATTCAGGCGTTATAAACATTGCGCAACGGTAAAATAGACTTCGAACTAGCTAAAAAGCCTAGTCATCTAAAAGCATTTGCACGTCCATAAACGCAGGTACATAGGAAAAAATAAAACATTTTTGCGAGAACTAAAAAGGGAGCTCCTACTGGAAAATATAGAAAATGCCATTTGGAGTATACAATAACAAGGAAATACACTTTCTCGGATGTCTGAAAATTGTAGGCCTTTCTAACTAGCAAGCTGATTCGCGCTCTAATGTGCATACGTACATGTGCATACGCATTCCCGCAACTTCTTCTAGCCATTCATTCATTCCGTTTTCCTACATTGGGCAGTTATTCGACTCGAATGAACTTCTATAGGCGGTTTTAAAAAGATAGACCAAATAAAATTAAAAAAAAAAAAAAAAAAAAAAAACACGAATATGTAGGGTTCGTAAAAAAAGAGGAAAACGTAAATAAAGAGCGCGTTGGAATTTCCATTTAAGACATAAAAATAAATTCATAAATAACTACACATTAACCTGCGATTAGGTATTTATTTGTACATAATGCAAAGTGGATGCCAACATCCCAGTTTGTCATTTTTTTTTTTTTCCCATTTTGAGATGAACTAATTATCATATTTATTCACGGAGTTTGATTTCTAGTTAAGGAAAAAACAACTTATGAAAATTATAGAAGTCTCTATATTTCGCGTTGGACAGTGATATATGTGATAAGATAAGTAGGAAAAACAAGTCGGCCTAAAGTAGTGCGTACAAATAGGTAAACATGCACTTGAATAAGTGTAAATGTACACACCTTTTGTAGGCAGCTACGTACGTACCAGTGTGCGCGTGCATATAGATGACAGCACGATGCCTGCTCTATACCGGCGTGATGCCTCCGCGACCCTGCACAAGGCGTGAGCAGCACCCCTTCCATGTTTGACGCGTTGTAAGGAGCATTACTGTAATTATGTTTCGCCAAAGCAGTCAGTATACGCGTGTTTCCATTCATTTTTGAGCGCATCCCTTTTGGTTAATGGTGCAAAACTCCTTGGTAGCTTTGGTAGATACACGACCAACATACTTATAAGCTCATGGTTGGGCACATGCACGTGTGGTACCTACACAACTTTGAGATAATATCCATGTCGCCATTTTTAAAATTAAAGAAAAAGTCCCATTAACAATAACGGTGCTAACACAATAAGTTGATTTTTTTTTTCTCTCTGGGTGAAGAAGCAAAATAAGTTACACTCTTCCCTTGAAACAGAATCAACGGGTTGTTTACTCAGCTTGAATTGGGAAAGACGTACACGAGAAGAAAAAAAAAAAAAAAAAAAGAGTAAAGAGTCAAGTAAAGGAAAGAAAACAAAAGAGCATTCTTTCTACCGCCCTTTCACAATTTCGAAGCGACATCCCACCGAACATGATAAAAAAAAATATCAAATTTAAGTCGGATGAGAAGCCTATAAACAAATCCTTCGGTGAGAATAATGAAAAAAAGAGGACCCACTTGGATATAGGTATGTGGACGCTTGAACGCAACTTTGCGCCTCCCCCTGCGGTGTGCTCAATTATATATACACATGTGTGTGCACCCTTGCAGGCTACATCCGTGTTATCTTACATGCGCGAGATCGTTAACTTAAAAGCGTTCGCACATGGCAAAGTGTTGTAAAATACAATGCTTCTAACTGCACATTTTCCTTTTCCCTGCTGGTATGAAAATATGCTTAATCCATTATGCACAACGCTACACGTACATATCAATGGTTAGAAAATGCCTCGCCCTAATTTGGCATTTTCCAAACAATAGTTATTTGCTACTTTACATTTTGTGCCGTAAGTAAAATATTTTTCTCTTTTTTTCTTTGCTTTTTTTTGCTTTTTTTTTCCTTTAAAAGGGGGAAAAGAATTGCCTTTGGGCTCTTGTCAATTTGTTACACAAAGTATGTACCTTTTAGAATTCGCAATATGGGAAAAGCGTCCTATAAATGATAATTCTTTTTCCTTTCATTTTTTTTTTTCTTGCATGTTTGCCGATCCCCCGATCAATCATTTGCATTATATATTCTACTTTTCCTCGGTGGGTTCCGTTTCGTGAAGTTTACCTTCCTTCTTTCCTTCGTTTTCATTGGGTTTCGCTTGGTGCAGTTGCCACGCTTGCTTTATTCGCCTCTTTCGCGTTCGCTCCGTTCCGTGTCGCTTCCTTCATTTTCTTTCTTTCCCTTCTTTCTTTTCTTTTCCTTTCTTTTACTTTTCTTTCTTTTCTTTCGTTTACTTTTCTTTTCTTCATTTTTTAAGTTTCCTTTCAAATGTAACGTTGTGCAGTACGAGTTTAACCATTTACGGTAATGTTCATTTTGCTTTCAAGTTAATTTTATTTCTTCCTGTATTTTTTTCATTTTGAATGTTTCTTTTTGTGAAAATGGGTTAAGCCCTTTTCATTCACCTAATTGTAATTGTAACTATTTGGGAATTTTATGTTTCCCATTTTCTGCTTTTTTCCCCATCCCATTCCCCTTCCCGCTTCTTCTTTCTCTTCTTTTTCTTTTCCGTTCTTCCCCCTCTTTCAGTTCGTACAGAATAGTTCATACAGTTTTGTACGTACCTAATCCTTTTTGCTGCCTTTTTGTTTTTTTTTTTTGCAGAAACGTATTTTTTATAATTTTAAGTTTATTTTTAATTTTAATTAATTCTTCTTGTACCTTTGATTATGATGCTTGCCTTGTGATATTTAAGGGAAAAAAAAGAAGAAAACAAAAGAAAAGATAAGATATGGGTACATGCACCTCCTCACTAAGAAAAAAAACACGCAAAACAAACCCGCCCTCCAGTAGAACATGTACGTGTACAAATGGACGATTGTACAACTTTGTGCATGCGTGTATAAAGTGTGAATAAAAAATGGAACATCCCCAAGCATGCATAAGCATGCGCATATGTATATGTGTATTGGCAAACCTACGTAAGGGGCCTCCCTATGTTCATAGTCCCTTCGTAATATGCTTAGCTGCGCAAGCATCCTTTCATGGCCATCAAAAGAGTATGCACCATTTTCAAATGACAAACGTGTACACAAAAAATAAGTGAAAGCAAGCAAAAGTGTACACAAAAATGGAAGTAAAGACATATTTTCCCAGTTTCCCTAACTTCCTATTTGCGCAAATTTATTATACCTCGTAGCTTTACATTTCTATATCGGCATTAATGGCATATGAAAAGGAGATTTTTTTTTTTTTTTACACCTGTGATGACATGCACGCTTCATATATGCTCACCACGTATGCGTAAAAGAAACTTCATTCCACAGTTTATATAATCATTGTTTAAGAGTTAAGCGATGCTAAGCTTTGTTAAGAGTGCCCCCCCCCAACATGTGCATGCTTCTATGTATACGTGTGTGTGGCTCCAATTTTGCACTTCACCCGTACACACTTCTCCTCCCCGCTTAAACGTTAATCCGCGTGCATGTATCCCCACCGAACAAGTGGCAAACATCATAACGTCTGTGAGTTGTTTCATCCGAACTGAATGATAGCCCAGCACAGAAGTGGGTGTTACGTGTCCGTATGCTTGCTTGCATCTACATATCTGATTAGCAAGAGTGGGAGGTTCCCCTCAAGTTAAAATGTGCACTGAGGAAAAGTTGCATACCACACAATATAAACTCCCTTTGACTTGACCTCTTTGCATATGCATCGTGCTTGCGTGGCCATTTAAAGACAAAATTAAAAAAATGAGCTACTACGATGGGTAACCAAAAAGAGGTGCAAAGGGGGGGCACCAAATGGGGCGCAAAGCGATGTGGAAATTTTCTCATTAAATTATACACGGAACCCTTTTCGGCCATTTCGCTGACTTTGCTTCTACAACAATGACCGTTGCTTCGTTTATGCATTTTAGAAGTTACTGTTGGGTTTACATTATCGTGTATGCATATGTGTGTACACGTTTGTGTGTAACTGCCATCGGGGGGAAACCTTCTCCCGCCTTCCCTGTGTGTATGTGTGCAAATTTCATATTGTGAAGCTCTTTCGTTGATACACCACTCCCCGTGCTTAATTGTGTAGAGGTGTCCGCGCGGGTGTTCTTCTCACAATTTCGCACAAGTGCATGCAAACGAATGTGTATATTTAGCCCCCTTCCCTAATGTATTTGTATACACACGAACCCTGAATGTCCCTTTCCACCCCCCGATCAGTCAAAGACAGAAAGAACACAAGAAGGAGACTCTCAATCAGCACAAAGGGACAGCTGCCAAATGACACGGACGAAATAAAAAGAAGCATTCAAGAGCTGAAGGACAATGAAGACAGGTTTAAAGAATCATCGGAAAATGATTCGCATACGAAAGTGGAAATAACTCCAGTGAAGGAAGAAGAAGAAAAAAAATGTGAAGAAAAAAAAAAAAAAATAAAAAATAGATCCTCCGTAGCAGGAGTGAGGGCATCCCATTTTCAAGAAGATTTCGAAAAAAAATGTGTAAAAATTAAAGGTGCAGTTGACAAATTAAATGAAAATGGAATAGGCTATGTATGCAGAAAAGGGTTAAAGCCGGAAAGCCCTAATCAGGATGATTTCACAATTATCACGACGGAGAACTTAGCTCTCTATGCCATTTTCGATGGCCACGGACCCTATGGACATGATGTGTCCAATTATGTACAAAAGGAATTACCCTACATGATTATAAAAAATGAAAATTTTTTAAAAAATCCGAAAGAGGTCTTCACTAATGCCTTCCTGAATATTCATGCCAACATAGAGGAAACCACCAATGCATATTTGGAAGAGTTTGCCAACAAACAAAAGGGAAACAGCAAAGGTGGGAACAGCAAAAGGCTTCAAATGAACAAGCAGAGGAACAGCTCCGTGGTTAGTAGTCACTTCGATTTAAATGTACATCGGCTGGACAATTCGGAGGACCAAGAGGATGAAGACCATGATGATGAAGATGACGATGATGACGTTGATGACGATGATGACGTTGATGACGATGATGACGTTGATGACGATGATGACGACGATGATGATAACAATTTTAGCGAAGACTCCGATACAGGCAACAAATACAGGTATGGCCACACCAATAGTGACAGCGACAGTAATAGTGGTCACAACAACGACAGTGATGATAATGAGGATCCGAAGAACTCCACTGCGAAGGTGAAAAAAAGCGAATCCAAGAAACGTGACAACGAAAAGGATACCACCAAAAACGAGAAGGAACAAACATTGAACAAAAAGAAGAAAAAAAAAAAGAAAAAAAAAGAAGCCTATTTTGATAGTACAATGAGTGGTACCACAGCAACAATAATAGTCCACCTTTTTCAGGAAAAAAAATTATACGTGGCTTATGTGGGGGATTCTAGGGCTGTACTTGGCAGGAGGAAAAAAGGATTCCCAAATGTGCTGGAGGCCTTCGATCTGACGAAAGATCATAAACCAAATTCCGCAGCTGAGAAGAAAAGAATTATAAATTCCGGTGGGCAAGTATTGAAACTTGAGGGGGATATACCCTACCGAGTTTTTTTAAAAAATAAGTTTTACCCAGGCTTGGCCATGTCAAGGTAGTGTTCCTATTTTAGCTGTACCTGCGAGTGTTCGCCCGCGAACGGATCAATTTCCACATACGTGTGCATTCCTTAATGTCGCGATTATGAGACCGCCTCACCGCACAGCTTGTGAATATCTATTGTGCATACCGAGCACATACGTAACGGGAATTAATTCCATCCGATCCGTTTTACACATGGGATATTTATTCTATATTCGCGCCGTGCACATTCACATCACATGTACACATCCGGATTTACGCCTTTTTTCTCCCCTACCACCGTACCTGCACTCAGAGCCATTGGAGACACGATCGGCCACCAGATAGGTATAATTTCCGAGCCCGATTTCATGGAAATTAACATAAACGAAGATGAAGACATCCTCGTTTTGATATGCAGTGACGGAGTGTGGGAATTCATTTCGTCGGAAGAGGCCATTAACCTGATCTACGAATTTGGATACGACAATGTAATGGCACCTACATGCGAGTGCGTATGTATGTACGTCCGCATGTTGTCGCGATTTTCGTTTCCCATACGATTGTATAAGTTCAGATTCTAACCGTGTCAGGCTTCCCTTGTTAAATTTTTAATGGCAATACGTATTTACACCTTTTGTTCCCCACCCCCCTTAAGGTTCAAGACGCAGTTGAGAACTTAGCCAAAGAATCCTGGGACCGCTGGCTAAACGAAGAGGAAAACATTGTGGATGACATAACCGTACAAGCTATATATTTATCAGAAAAATGCAAAAAAAAAAATAAGAAATAATTAAATTTCATTTGTTTTTTTTTTTTTTTAGTACATTTTTGGTATATATACATAAATGCACTCCGCATGTCGTCTACTTAAAAGATTTGCTCTGCAGGCTCTTAAATTAAACAACACGGCATTATCTCCCCACATTTTCTTCAACACACTAATTAAGAAATGCTTTAACGCATTCTGGCCTAATTGCACGAGAACGGATGGCTAATTTGCGCGCGATGATATCGCACAGTAGTAAATAAAATTTAATCACTTTTTATAACAAATTGGGGTAAAGAAGAAAAGGTGTGTGTGTGTGGTGTGCGTGTATATGCTGAAATGAAGTCTCTTCTAACCTGTGCCTTTTCTTTTTGTCAGTTTTTCCGCTTTGCTATTTTTTAATTCTATATTTCCACACTGGTATGATGTAAATGTTGCAGCTACACAGAAAATGTCTTCTTTCGTGAAATATATTTTTTTTTTTTTTGCAAAGGAAAACTGCAATTATGACTTCTTCTTTTTTTCTAACTCCACCTTTTTTAACAGTTTCTTAGCAGCATCTTTTGAATAGCTTCCTTTTGACAACTCGTTTTAAGAAGACGAAGTTTGTTTTTTTTCCTTTTTTTTTTTTCCATCTCTGGTCGATCTTACAGCGTGGAAATAAGGACATTTCAAAAAAAGGAAAAAGGTTACACTGCATTCTGTGTAGCGTTGCAAATTGATAATCTCAAATCGGGAAGGTTTAAAAAGGGCACCAAAAAATATATGTTTCCGTTTGTAGAAAATGTAGAATTAAAATGTGCGAATAATCAAATCTTGTGTGTGTGTGGGGGGGGAGGGGGCAAAATGTGCCATGTAGGAAATAGACAATGCTCGTAAGAGAATTACCCTCGAATGCTCATAATTGTAACAACAAAAAAAGAGAGAAATAGCTGACCGAGTGGGTAATTAAATTAGGCGCATTTGAAAATATACATGTGTGCCCACTTACACATTTGCAATTTTGGGGCATGACCAAGTGAAGGAGTATTCTTCCCATATAGGCTCTCGCCTCGGGGGGGGGTCACTAAGGTGGTACTGCGTAAGGGAGAATGTGCAAATCGATACGTGAATGTACTGCCGCTTCACCTCCCTGCAAAGAGTCACTCCTAGCATGTCCTCAATCTATCACGCAAATAGGTATCCTCCGTTGTGAACTTATAATTGTTATATATGGAGTTAAAGATATGGGCGGCCTCCACCTTTGCCTTCAGTTTCATGCAAATTAAAAAGGAGCCGGATAATTTTCTATGCAGGGTGTAAATTTCGGACCGGGGGGGTACCAACCTATTGTAAATAATCTTGGGCAACAACTTATATATCTGCTTAGCAATATCATTATTGGCAAAATCGTACACTGGATATTTGAAGGGTTCCCCCACTAGGATCACCGATTTGATATGCGAATTTTTCATTTCTTCAATCTCTTTACCTACAAAAAAGTTAAGCTCATAGGAATAGTGATAAATTTTAGATTGGTCTTCCTCCACGGATGCTTTCACAAGTCTTAAATAATTATCAACAAACTCATTTTTGTAAGATCTGGTGGCCCCGAAATCGATTAGGCATAACTTGTCCTTTTCTTGATCGTATAAGAAATTGCCCAAATTAGGATCCGTGTTCATAATTTTAAAGACAAACAATTCGTGTAAACAGAGGTAAAGAATTCTTTGGCCTATGGAATCCCGAATGGCTTGTGGGAATCTCACTGCAACTTCGTCTAGGGTTAAACCTTCCACGTAGGAAGTTACCAACACGTGTTTCGTCACATACTCAGTGTACACAGAAGGTACATAAAAATATTTGCTACTCTTAAAAATATTTTTAAAAAGGACATAATATTTTGCTTCGTTAATATAATCACACTCACATTTTAATTCCTTCTTAATTTCTCTACACACATTTTCAATATATAGATTTTTTAGTATCAAATTGGTATACTGATTAATAAGTAGCAGATTTTTCATGTCACTGTCTATGGACTCGTACACACCTGGGTATTGAATTTTCACTGCCACTATTTTATTATTTATTTTTGCTTTATGGACCTGTCCTATGGATGCACTTGCAAAAGGGACATAATCAAACGAGTCGAATTTTTTTTCATAGTCCTTCCCCAGCTCTTCTTTTAGAACACTTCTTAACTGGCTCATGGGCATTACATCCGCTGAATTGGACACCAGTTTTAGGGCCTTCCCCAAAATGGGCGACAAATGCTCGTCTTGCAAGCTGATCATTTGACCCAACTTTAGGACTACTCCTCTCATTTTGCTCAACCCCTTTGCCAAAATTTCCGCGTTCTTCTCACTCACGATTGTGCTACGCCTGGGGCTATTTTCAGCATCGCCTCCTCCAAACCCGTTGGCCAACCTACTTTTAATGTACTCCAGGCTACTATTCTTCGCAATATCTAACAGGACCTTTCCAAAAACGGTGGCCCTGCTGAGAGGCGAGACGGGCACTTTGCTGATTCTAAAATTTGTCCTTTCGGATTTATCCAAGCATATTATTTTGTTATTTAAAACATCAATGTCGTAATTGAAGTCCTGCTCATCCACCATGTTCGCGTGGCTTATGTTTTCGGCATCATTTGGTTCTTCTCTCTCTATATGTATATTTCTATCTTTTTTCACCTCTACGCCAGCGCATGTGCTACTATTACCTGCATATCCCTTCAAATTGTCACTTTTGGCGGTGCTTCCCCGATTGTCCCTTTTTATGCCATCACCTTGGCTGGCAATATCGATATCTTTGAATTTTTCAGCACAGTGGAAAATTTGCGATCTCATTTTGTGTAAAGTGTTTTCATTATTCGATGTGTCGACGGTGGAGAGAAATCTTTTTGGGTTCATCCAGGGGGAGTAATCTGGAGGTTTATTCCCAAAGGGGGTTGTCAAAAAATGGTAGCCGCTTTGGGTGTGTACATCGTCAGTAACTGCCTTGCGGCCACTTGGATTTTCTTTCTCAATTTGGCTAGGCGAGATATCATTCATTCCTGCCCCGTGGTACCTTTCACTCTTACGTAAGACCCCTTCTTCCCGATTGACAAATTTAAATTTGTGATTAGCACCCCCCTGCTGTTCATTCAGATTGTCCCTTTCGTTACCATTACAGTTGCCCTCTAATTTGCTACTCCTTTTTTTTTGCATGACACTTAGCATGTCTTCTTCCCCCCTCAGGAATAAGTCCAGTTTATTTAAATCTATGTTTTTGAACAAGTACTCATTATCCTGTCCTTCCTGATTTTGTGTATGATCTGCGGGGAAAATGTCCTCAGTATATTCATAGCGCCAAAAACATTTATATGGTAAGACACGTACAATTTTGAAATTATTATAGAGGTAGTAAAATATGTGCGACTCGTTTTCCCTTGCCCTTTTTAGCAATCTCATCGCCGCTGGGTTATTATGCAAACGGTCTTCCAGGGTGTTTATCACGTTGGAGAAAAAAGTACTTATTTCGTTTTCCACATATATGTCATTTTCCTTGTCATTTATTACGATGTGGTAGCGATGGGCAGCTCTGTGTAAATCCAGCGAGGCGCTTAGGTCTTCGCTACGATGTATATTTAGAGAAGTCTCCTTGCTTGTACTAATCGTGGTATCCCTATGCAGGCTATTTTTTCCTGTTCTTTTTTTTTTCTTTTTTCCTTCCACTTGCCTTATTACGTCATCTATTAACCTCTCATTTTTCGTGTTCAGAATGTGCGACCATTTGTATATTTCGAATGGAGTCGTTAAATCGCTACAGGTGTGATTCCCCCTAATTGCGTTCCCCACCTTAGTGGGCTTCTTCAATTCCTCTGGGCCGGGCTCACGACTACTTTTTCTGATTTTAAATTTACTTATTTCGCTATTGCTCATGTAACACCTTCTACACAGCAAAGGCGAAAAAAAACGCTTCTCCCATTTCAGTGAGCTTTTCATACTTTAAAATGGTTTTGCTGCAGAGGGGGAGGGGTGCCAGGTCGTAAATGCCTATGTGCCGCATAGGCACAGCAGGGGGGCATATACGTGTACTTAAGAACAGTTGTTGCAAGAAAATTTCAGTGTTTTTCTTTTATGTTTATAGAGTTGTTACAATTTTGAGAGGAATTTTTTCCCATTTTTTTTCCTATTTTTTCCTTAATTTTTTTTTTTTTTTTCCTTATGAGCCATCCAGAGTTCCAAAATGGCCTGCAAAAATTAGCGGAAAGCATAATATCATAAAAGGGGGGGGACACGTGAGATACTTGCTGATGTGTCGCTAGAGAAGACCAACAGGGGAAAAACTTTGAGCGCGTTATCCATCCCATTGTATACATATAAATACTTCTACCTTTGCCGTTCAGTGTATGTATAGTTCGACTTTCCGTTAAAATAAAGATCAAAAGAGAGGGAAAAAAAAACACCTTTATTTTAAACACCCATATGGCTTTTATTTTTTTATTTTTTTTGGCATAAGTATGTACTTTTCTCAGTATAGCCAAGCTTGCTCATTTTTTATTTTACCGTTTCGTCATTATTGTGTTAACCCTTTTTTTGCCCTCATTTGATCATTCGTTCGTCACAGCTCCACATTCATTTCCTCATTATCTTAAAAATTTGCGCAGCAGTTCTCATTACAAAGTTGCACATACCAACAAAGGGGAGAGGGATATTACGGAAAATAATGCGTTACCGCTAAATTTTGAGAAGGGAGATAATGTGAGCAGCTGGCCTCTCCGTACGAGCACAAAGAAAGGGAACATAGTTCAAGTTGCTTCAAAATATAAAAAATAAATGGAAGCCCCATTTCTGAATGGCGAACATATCCAGTTGCTGAAGGTTTATCTGGTCAGTGAATTACGTGGAAGGGCGGTGTGCACATAAGTCAGGTTATAGACAATGATGTAAACGTGCAGACGTTACCCTACCAACGCGCCCTCTTACACCTGCGCGATGCGCCCCAGTTGACGACAGATCCTTTTAGTAAAACACAAAGAATATGAAAAAATGTGACATTTTTTTCTTATATTTAATTTTTTTTGTTGTAATCACCATCAAATGTTGCCGACCGTTTATAATTCCCAACAAGACAAAAATGGTAAACGGTCCTCTTTTGAAGAACTGCTGCAGGAGCAAGCGGATTGGTAATAATGAAACAAAAAGAAATGATATAAGAAGTTGTTAATAAATGCCGCTTCAAAAAGAACAAAGCCAATTTTTTGGCGTCGTGCTCTTAGTTCCTGATAGCTCCAGCAATATAAATATATGTGTACCATTAATGACGCGCAACTTGGCAACCCCACCGTTTTATAAATAGTAATCGCTGTTATTAAAGTTTCTTTATTTTTTATTTTATTTTACTACTTTTTTTTTTTACCACGTTTTCCAGTAACAATTTTTGGGAAAAAAAAAAAAAACAGGAAAGTTGTTGTCATAGAATGCACTGAAGCGAGGAAATACGGAAAGCAGCCATCCAGATATGTGACAGAGAAAAATAAAGTAAACACACCGAAAAAGTTGCAGTTGTACAAGTATAATAAATATCTTAAAAGAAGAACATTACATGTAGAAATTAAGTAATGACATGCGAAAGGAAACCTTTTGTTTTTCTACGCCTAAAGCATTTCGCCCATATTTATCCGTCTTCCTTTTTTTTTTTTTTTTTTTTTTTATCAAGGATTTGTCACTTCATTTTTCCTCTTCGAAAAATCCCTGCATTGTTTATACTAACGTTATAATTTAAAAACGTAAATCTTATTTTAAGAAGATGCGAAACGTTTTTTCGTAGAGACGTTAAATTAAATCTGGCTAGATATGTATAATGGGTTACGCGTACGTAAAAATTACACTAAATTTTTTTTTTTTTTTTATTTCTTTCGACGACACACGCCTTATGAAAAGAATTCAAAAATTAATTTTTCAGCATTTTGCGTGTTCCTTACCCTTGAAACATGTTAACATGATATGTAATATATATATTATTATACAAATTGTTTTAAACAAATTTAAGCGCAAAGATGCGTTTTTTCAACTAAAAAAAGAACAAAACAAAAAAAGGATAATTCGCTAATATTGAGGGTGGTTTTTTGTGCATGGTAAATTCAATTTTTTTAAACAAAATTTGAACACCAAAGAGGAAGAAAGTGCACGTTGCAGTACTAATTTTGAATGCATTATGGGCAGGCTCCGCTCATTGGCAAAATTAACGATTGAAATAGTTGTCATTGTTTTTTTCCGGTTTAGCTAAATGAAATTTTTCTTTCGAATGCATTTTATTTCTTTTTTAATTTTTCTTTAAATGAAAATTTTCTTTCAGGTTTATTTTTTATTTTTTAAACAAAATCTTCTCTTTTTTTTTATTTTTCTTTTGCCTTCTCACATCCTCTACTTATATAAAATAAAACATTTTTATAAACTGTTTCGATTTTTATCAAAACAATTACCTCTTTATACGTGCCATCCGTATAATTAGAAGAAAAAAGAAGCGTAAGAAAAAAAACATTTGTAATGTCCTGGAGCTTCACATTTTTACGTGTTCATTTGAAAATGTTCCCGTTTATGCTTTATGTTCTCTAATATTATTTCCAATTTTGTTTTTTCCCCTTTTATTAGCCTCCCCAAGTTTTTTCGGCATCCATCTGGTTTTTATCTTCCTCGAAATTGTAAATCCTCTCCCCAAAAAAGGTAACACTATTTGCTGCCACAGTAGAATTATCCGATTCCAGCATCTACACGTGTAATACTTATTTAAATATACAACTTGTGTGAGGTCATTTAAAGTTTTCGTTTTCCATACGTCCGTCAATTTGCATATTTGAATAACCCTCGCATTTGGTTAAATCCGCTCTTGTGACTCATGACTACATAGTTTTTTATCTAAGGGGGGAGTAAAAAAAGAATCCAATCAAATAGCAGATTTAAATACTTTTTACACATGTATATGTCTGTACGTGCGAATTTTGTGGGTATTTTCTTAGACGCTTGAGCAGACGCGTACATATATTCATATATCAGTTTATCACCCTCCCCCCCATGCTTACGTAAACCGGGTAAACGTTTCCACCATTTAAAGACTTCGTCCACGAAGTGCTCAGAATGGAACTCTCCTTCTTCCACTTGAAATAATTCTGCTGTTATTTTCAACGTGTACATGGCCAGTGTCCCTTTCTTACGTCTACGACATGCATGTAGCATTGTTCGGAAAGGCATTTTTTCGATGACATTTTATCTCCCTTCTTTTTATTTATTTATTTTTTTCTCCTCACTTTAGCCTCTCGAACACAATGACTATTGCCGACTTATTTGAAAGATGCGTTTGCTTCATCAACGCGCTTCCCAAAACTGAAGTATTGTCTTTGCAGGATAAATTACTTTTATACAAGTACTTTAAGCAAGGCACAATTGGAAACTGTAACATAGGTGCACCAAGCCTGTTTAGACTTCAGGAAAGGAAAAAATATGAAGCATGGAAATCAATTGAAAATTTGAGCAAAGAAGAAGCACAGAAGAAGTATGTCGAAACGGTTCAGAACTTGTACCCAGATTGGGCAATGGCAACATAAAAGAAAAGATTTACAAATCTGAACTGAACATATTTTGTAAAAAATAAGGAGAAATTTATAAACTGTGTGAGCATAATTTTGCGTGTGTATCACATAATCCCATGTTGTTCTGCAACTGTATAGAAGTACTTATAAAATGCGAGCAAAAGAGCGCGTAACTCTTTATGTATAACTCCTCACGAGTGCATATTTCTAGAGGTGTTGTTGATGACACGATGTGACGAGGACATTTCTTCTTCTTTTCTTTTTTTCTTTTTCCCCAAAAAATATCAAAAGTGTAGAAGAAACTTGTTTTTTATGTACGTGTTTTTTCGTATTTGCCATTTATATGCCGAAGTGTAAGTATGTATGTACGTAAGCATATGATCGACTGTGTGTATAGCTACATAATTGCATATTTATGGATTTATCAGTTTATGCGCTAATATATTCACAAGTTTGCATATTCACAAGTTTACATTTTACATACGTATGACACGTTTTTTTAAGAAAAAACTGCACAATACAAAAACTTTGCGCTTATCACAAATCAGCCTATTTCGGAAAGTTAAAAAATGGGAAGATTTTTTTAAGACACTTAATTTTTTATTCATTAAAGTGGTTTAAATGCACAGCACCTATTTTTTGGTAAAAGGGGATTTTTCTGAATTTATATAAAAAAAAAAAAAAAAAAAAAATTCGCTAGTGGGGGAATGGGATGGAAAAAATCGTAGCTCCTTTTACATCCCTGTGGCATCACTCCCTTTGCAACTGTTCCGTAATCAACAAAGCCATTTTCTACAGAGTTGTAAAACGGGTACACAGAAATGCCAATATTTGAATATGCGAATATACTTAATGTATAGGATACGGAAATATAAGCGGACCATATTCATGTAACGATCTCACGGGCATGCAATGGTGCAAAGTGTGGTAAAAATGGCCAAATCGATTTAGCCTTGTTCACATTCACCTGTACGGATTAACAAAGAGAACATCGCTAGAGCGAATAAAATAACAGATAAATGTTCTCTCAATTGAAGGAAAGGTGCACCATGCAACAATGTGGTTTTTTTTTTATCACCATGTGGAGTAATAAGGAAAATACAGTTATTGCACTGCAAGATGGGTTAATAAAAACTAATGAAGTGGTAAAAATGTGTATGTAAAATCGACAACTGGGCAACTTGGCAACTCGTCAGTTCGTAAATTTGTTACTTCATCGTTCCATATATTTTTTTCTTTCTTTTGGTCAATTGCAAAAGGATAAAACATGTTAACAACTTTTTTTTGTTAAAAATTGAAAAAAAAAAACAAATTACCAAAAAGCTGGTGTGGACTTACCATACAACCGTTTACCAAATGACATACTCTTCACCATTTTGCAGTTTTCCCTGTGTGATTGGGAAATGTAAAAAAATTAACAATTCGTGTATTTAATATACGCAACAATTCGTTAACAACCTTTAACAATTATTTTTGAGAAATGAACATAATTTTTACATGCCCCTATTTTACGGGTTCTTATGTATGTAAATATGCATACGGGCATATAGTACATACATATGACAGAGCAAAGCGCAGTATTATAAATGTGGTATGAAAAAGAGGATGTAGATTCATATTTCGGCGAAAAAAACCACGTAGCAACAGAAAAGGCAAATTTGTTAAATTTTACGAACACATCAAACGATTGTTTTTTCTTGCATTTGCAATAGTTGTAGTGAACCATAGCAATACATATATTCTACAAAATGGAAACGAGAATACAGCAAAAATAAAATAAATAAAGCCTTTTTTCCTCTTTTCAGTTTTAAGCAAAACTGACGTGTTGCATATACATATTTGTATCCCAACAAATATACTGTTACGTATGCACATAACAAATATATGGAAATCAACAGAATTGCGCAAAAATAATCTGCCATATTTTATCGCAAGAATTTTTCACGTATTCGTACAACCCACATTTTGTTTTTTTTCTTTTCATATTTGTGACATATAAGAATATCTCCACCTTAGGAAACTCCACGCAGTTTTTCATATTTCTACGCAAGTTTTATACAGAAATTTGCGCAAAAAATTCATATACATACTTCGTTACATATTTGTTGTAAAACGTATAGTGCTCCTCATTTTTTAACACTTTTTTTTTATTCCGTATTCGCGCTCTGTTGATGAAGCCGTCATTTTTATACAACAGTTGCAAAAAAAAAAAATGAGAAAATGTGTTTATTACGTATTTTTTTTATTAGAATAATTTTATGAGCGACTTGAAAACCATTTATGTAGAATGAATTAAGTGGTTTTATTTTTTTGGGACTAAGAAAAAAAGAAGCATTTGTTCTGCCCAAGCAAAGGGGGGGGTACATGAAAGGTAGTCGTGCATATTACATATATCTATACAACCATTTGGACTACTTTTTTTGTGGACGTACTTGACATTTTCTGTAGAAGTAAGCAGAAAGAATGTCTTAAAAAATGTATTTCGCAATTTTATATTCATATATGCATTTTTTCTCATATATATTGGTATGCCTATGGGCCTACGTATATAAAAGCCATACATATGTACCTAAGCGCAAACGCCTAAGTACGTACATACGTATAAATACGTCCTCAGTACATAGGCATATGCAAACATACGCACCCAAGGGGGCCATACGTCCCTTTATATAGGCCTAGATATATCAGCATACATATGCATATATACTCAGCAAGGACGACACTCCACAATCCCCGCGGTAAACTCCTTATACGTAAAGAACATAGCAACATATACCAGTATATTGAATACCTGTTATTTTTTTCTTATTGCACCTTCTACAGTTGAAACACCTTTTATTCTTGGCTTTCTCATTTATATTCATGTAATATATTTTTTCGCTATATTATGGAAGAAGAAAATATTCTTTCTACAAACTGGATGTTTTTTTTTTTTAATTTTTTAAACCTATCTCGATGTATATATATATATATTTATACATATGAAATTTTTATTTTTGCAACATGATATTTTTTGTAAAAGAATATCATATAGTTTTTTCAATTAATAAGCCCTTTTTAATTTACCAATTATTATATTTTTATTAGTTAATTGTTATTCCGTGCTTCTTTTTTGTTTGTTTGTTTCTTTTTTTTATAGAGCTGGCCTTGCGCCTCAAAAATAGAATAATTACTTTGCTATTAATTTCCCTTGAGACTTAGATTGGCATCCGTACCACTAGACTGTGTTGTATTTACTCGTTTTCGTGACTTTGTCTCATTCTTTTTAGATATGTATGGATGAATTTCGCCAGCCTGTTCTCAACTTATTAAGAGGACATAAGTTAACAAGTAGTGCAGAAGGACGGTGTTGTGTCCATTCCATAGCATGCATGTTTAGTTATATATGTATATATATATCTATATGGATACTTTTATTTTCCTATGTGCGTACAATCAGCTTGCCAGTTTCGTACATGCTCGAAGTTGTAGCATTTTTTTTTTCTTTTACCCAAGTTGGTGAAATACGCTTATGTACATTAAAGTGTGTTACATTGATTTGCAACATTGTGCATTTTGTTTTTTCCTTTTTAAGCATAGAAATTTTTTTAAGAATGAAATTCCAAATGTGAATAATCTTTTTATGCAAAATGTCATAAGCACAAATTCACTGTCCTAAGCGTTACCCTCTTGTTTTGTTGTAATTTTTTTTTCTTTTTTTACAATACACGTATTTAAATGTAGGAATAGTGACATATATGCGAATATGTATATGCACATAAGCATTTATTTGAAAAAGTAAATTTAGAATATTTGCCCAAATTGGCACCGCGGATATCCTACACGAATGTGTTATTCATTTGCGTGTACGCGGAAATATACCTATACAAATGCGTATTTTTTTGCGTACGCGTGAACACGTTTGGAAAAAAATAATAAAACACGTACTGGTACCTAACTCCCCACTTGCACCTACACTTACGCCGAGACTTCCTCATGTACACGCTGAAACAATTACGCACATAAGTAGATGACACATACAGCGGGAATATTTATGTACGGCATAGATGCATGTATGTACATACGGATGTAGATTATACGTATACAAGTGTAGAGCAATTTTTTTTTTTTTTTTTTTTTTATTCTCCACGTATTTAAAGGCAATTCTTTTCTGTCATTTTATTTTATCCTACTTCATTTTACTTTATTATTTTTATAAGTACCTTTAATGTTTTAATAATTCAGTAACCATATTTAAAATTAGTTTACCGGTTACGACACCCTTTTTACACTCACGAGTTAACACCCTTACACTTGTAGATAAATCGAAAAAAAAAAAAAAAGAAATTCCCCATAAAAACGAACTCGAAATTTTACATGATCTTGTAAACGTTCCAATGGATTTATATGACAAAAATACTGGAAAAAGAAAAAGAAACTCTAAGCTTATAATATCCTCAGGAAATGAAGGAGACCACGTAGATTTGACAGAAAAAAATAAAAGAAACAAATTAATAATAAGCGAGGTTGATTCCAAAAATGTACCATGTGAACAGAACAACGAACAAGTAAAAAAAGAGTGGGACGCGAAGAATAGATCTGCTCTAAAGGGGCAAAGGACCGATGGGGAAAATGACCAAGTGAAAGAAATAATCACCTTGGATGGTGATGATGGGAATTATAAATTAGAGACGGAAGAAAAGCAACGAATCGGAAAAAATGAACAAGTAGCAAATATTCCCGTTTCAACCACGGAAATAAAATTAGGGGACGCGGATGAATTAATTAAGAAATATCACAACCCGTGTAATAGCAACAACATGCTAGGAAAAAACAGAATGATAAAATTACAAAGTGGAAAATTAACCAAATTGGAAAATAAGGGTAACCGCGTGATGAAAAGAAGAAAAAAAAAAAAAAAAAATTCCGCAAACCATCATTCGAACAATAGGATTTATAAAAACATAGAAGAAATACCTGTGATCCACACAACAATGGAAGAGTTATCAAATCCAATTTTATTTTTCGAAAAGTATAATTCTATTGGACTAAAGTATGGGGCAATGAAAGTTAAACCACCCAATTTTTTCCAACCTCAATTTAACTCGTACTACCTAAATATGAAATTTAATATACGGAAACAGAAAATCAACGAACTGAAGAATGGGAAGGAATTTGATCACCCTGAAGAGTACTGGTCCTTCTATGAGGTGTACAAATATAACCAAATGCTGGAGAAGATGTACCTACCACAAGAAAAAATGAGCTTGGAAAATATCGAAAAGATATATTGGGAAATCATCAATAAAGGAAATGAGCAAGTCGTTTCTATATATGGCGCTGATTTGCCCGTATCCAGAAATCATCCCACGTGCCTATTTCATAACAACCTAAAACGGGTTCAGTACTCCGGGAGGAATGACAATGGTAGTGAGATCAGCACTGTGAACAGGAGCAGATGTAGCATTGTCAGGGGTACCACCCCTGAATTATCGTGCGAGTCCACTAGCGATCATCTGAAAAGGGGAGAAGAAAGGGGAAATGGTTTATTACGTGCGAGTGTGTGCAATGAGGAAATGTGTGAAGACCCTACCAAAACGAATGTGTCATCGAGTATGGATAAACTGAATAATGACCTTACCCGTTCGCATCCGCTGGGAAATACTGGTAACAAAGCTAATAGCGATTGCTCTAATGGCCACTGCTTGAATGGGGATTGTACCAATGATGACTGTACCATTGACAGGGCAAATGGCGACTTCCCCAATAACAGTGCAAACAGTCAGCGCAGCAGTGACAATGCAATTCCACATTGCTGCAATGACAATACAAATAACGAAGGGATAGTGAGTGAGCACGAACAGGGTATACAAGATGTGATTAACATTTTTGATCCTGAAAATGTCACAATGGAAGCAAAACGTGTTGATAATAGAAGGTATGCAATAAACAAGTGCGACGATGATACCTATTTCGGAAGCGATCGAAAAAAGGATTACAGTGATCATCCAAGGGCTACTAACAATCCGATCAACACTGATAGAATACCCCCCAGTTGTGCATGCGATATAAAAGAAATTTCTAGTACTGAACGAGGTGTGTGTCAAAGCGCTAGCGATAAAAATGATAGGAGTAAGGAGACCTCCATTGGAGAGGTGAAAATTTGTCATACAAGCAGTGAAACAGATGTAGCACACGTAAACCCTGATAAGATGTTTATTAAAAAGAGAGAGGAGTACTATTCCGAAATAAATAATGTAATTAAAAACATAAATGAAAATTTGAATATAAAATCACTTCCATTTATAAAAGGATCGATGCTGCGAAATGTAGATATATCCATCGAGGGGGTTAACATTCCATGGTTATATGTTGGAACGCTCTTTTCCTCCTTCTGCTGGCACACAGAAGATAATTATTTCGCTTCTATAAATTATCAGCATTGGGGGAAACCAAAAATATGGTACGTCATACCACCTCTATACAGTGATAAGGTGGAAGATGTTATTTATGAATACTTAAAAGAAAGCAGTAAGAAGGAGGATGTGTTGATCCAAAGAGCAAAGGGAAAAATGAAAAGAAAGGAGCCCCGAAATTTATTTAATAATTCCGATTTAAAAAAAAAACTCAAAGAGGAGAGCTCTATTGTGCAAATTATCAGAACTGAGCAAAGGCAAAAAAATTTGCGCATTTCAAAAAATAGCCCAAAATTAACCTCTAGGAATAGTACTACCACTGGAAGTACGCGCCGCTCCAGTGCTATAGTGGCTAGCACTAGCCGAACTGCCACTACGATGCCTAGTACTAGCCACAGATGGAATAGAAGCACTAGCTGTAGTACGACCAAGAGTGCTAGCCATAATACACTGGAAGGTAATTCACTCCTTATAGATGTGGATATAAATAATGCACATTTGATATATAGAAAATCCTATTTGAATTACAAAATTGTGGATAGAAATCAAATTAATTTCAAAAAAGAAAATAATAAAAATAAAATTTACAAATTAACCATACAAGTTCCAATTGAGGTTTTTCTAAAAAATAAGATTCCAGTTTATAAAAATATTCAGAGAAAAAATGAATTTATTTTCCTATGGCCAAAAACATTTCATGGAGGTTTTAATTCAGGTTATAACTGCAATGAAGCTTGCAATATTGCCCCTACATTTTGGCTATTTTACGGCCTTCAGTCATATTACAATTACAAATATTTTAGAAACACTTGTATATCCATTCATTTCATTTTATTTTCAAATTTATTGCATTATCAAGAATATACGTTTAGCCAACTCAAGCACATGATATACTGCCTGCATTATATACTAACTGATGAGTACAAATTCTTTAGAGAAAGTAAAACGTTATTTATAGAATTCACGCTAAATCGCGATGCCCTTCTAAATAATAAGCTTATGAATTATTCAGGCCATTTATCGTTAGATCTAAATAAAATGTACGCGAATTTCGAAGGCCATAGGAATAAACACTTTTTTTTCCAAAACATTAAGAGTAAACTCGAATTTTTTTACAAGGATTGCGATGCCTGTAATTCTCCTACCTTCAACAGTAAGATTACATATATATTATATGTACTTGCATGATATAAGAATGGCGCGTACAAGCGTACATGTATTTTCGCGATGTACATAATGGAGAGTTAACTGCGAATATTGCGCGCTCAATTACATGCAAACATAATTTACGAACGCAATATACGAACGCAATATACGAACGCAATATGCGAACGCAATATGCGAATGCGATATGCGAATGCACTATGCAAGTGCAATAAGCAAACGTTACATGCTTTTACATTGCATTTAAACAAGCATATATACGGGTATAATACGCGCGCATATGAAATATATTCACATATATTGCCTACGCATGTCGTGTACGCATGTAATTGCGCGCGCTAATATGCGCTTTCTATCGCGCATAGAGAGTACGATCGATATATGCGTATAGTTATACGCCTATAGTATTAGGATTATGGCGCGAGTGGAGAGGGTTTTCAAAATGTACGCTACAGTCCGGGTAAAAACGTGCTGTACATGCATGACATGTGTACGCAAAGTATGTACACTATGTATTATATGCGCAGAAAAGGGGGCAGAAAGCATAAATATGCTGAAAAAATTATAAAAATAAAATGAGGAGAAAGAATAGGATTAAGAAGAAAACGATAGTAAAAAAAAATAATAAAAGAGAAAAACATAAAAAAAAATTAATCAAAATTGAAGCGAAAAAATACAGATATGAAAAATTGAAAAATTAAAAAAATGACATGCATATAAGAAAAAAATAGAAGTCAATGAAAATTACAAACAATCAAGCTAATATAATACCGAGTATAAAATTTATTGCAAAAAAAAAAAACATGGTTCTATAAATGCGCAAATTGTATTCACAGACATTGCCTACAATATAGAACCGTGTTTCAATGTATAGAATTAAAATAATTATAGTATAGTAAATTATATACCCCGTTGGATTTGCCGACACAGCCAATATTTTTTTTTTTTGCAGGTTCAATTATATGTCCACACTCCAATGACATTCTATGTATTCATTGTTCCGAAGAACATGGTTGCAAGTGCAAATTCAAGTAAGTCCATCACTGTTTATTTACGCATACAAGATCATTGCATATACCGCTTTGAAATTATATATATGCGAAGGAACCGTTGAAATTTCTATATATTTTTTATACGCGCAAATAATAAAGTATACTTTTATGTATGCAAAAAAGTTAGCTCCTATAATACATATTTTTATTCTATACTCTTATTTTTGGCAGAGTTGCACTAAAACGATATACGCTCCTAGAAATGATGAAGATTTTGACGCTCCTAATTCATTATGCCAATAAAATTGTAAGTAAATGCATGCCGAAAAATTAGCATGGTTAATTTTATCTTGACCAAAAAAAAAGTGCATCTCGGTTTCGATACCTTGCATTTTTTATCTTCATTTGTGCTAAAATTCAGGGTGGGTACCGTAATTTGTATTCATTTTACTTACATGCGTGGATTTTTAGCACCGTTTTTCGCGACGAGTGCACATTTGTCCTTATTGTCAAAGTCAATTGTATTTTTTCAATGTTTCCCCATTCTTTTTTTTTTTCTTTTTTTCGTTTTTCGCAAATTGTTGCAGATTTTTCCCGATTTTGCAACTATATTCAGTGGAGTGCATTTTTATGTATTGTTTTGCAATTTTCTAAATTTTTGAGAAAATTTCGAATTTTTTCCAAGTTTCTTGTTAGCATATTGCCGCTATATTTTCAGTACGTTGTGAGTTTGTGTTCAATGCGTCGTAAGTATGTTACCTCTTTTGTAATTATATTGTAAACTCGTTATTATAATGTTCTTTGTGTGTTGTAGACGCGTTGCAAATCTGTTCATCGTCTGTGTTGTAATTACTCCCTTCGTTTCGATTTCACTGTTTGTTTGATGCGAGTGCATTACCAGGCCTTTGCTAGTCTGTTTGCATTCCTTGCTCCTGTGTTGTTTGTTCGTTGAAAGTTGGTCTTTTCCTGTGAGTTTATTTCAGAGTAATATTTGTTTAATATTAATTTCATGTTACTTTTCGATTCATTATATTTTATTTTCCTTTTTATTCGCTGCGGGTTTGTTGCCAATTTCTTTCCAATTTGATGCTTATTTCTTCATCTGTGCCTTCCCATTGTTACTGCAAAATTTGAGTGGCGTATGTTGATGATCTGCACGTATTCTTTTTGTAGATTGTATTTACACATTGTTTCAAGTTACTTGCTTATGCGCTTTAATTTTCGTACAACCCTTTTAATAATTTTTTGTTCTTTTGTTTTGTTGTTGTTTTTTATAGACGCATGTGTTTAGTTGAGTCTTTTGTTTGAACGTACTTTGATTTGCTATACTACTCTATGTGTACTTGTTTTAGTGAACTACGATGATGTCGCAATCGTCCACTTTTCTGTATTCTTTGTTTTTCAATTGTAGCATTGATGTAGCTACTTGTTTTTGTCACGTTTTTTTGAATTTTAATTAAATTTTTGCATTGATTATATATGTACGTATTTGATTTTTGCTATCATGACCTATTTGCATGATGATATGGCACAAGTATCACCCTCCTGATGTTGTGGATTTTGTGTCCACTTGTGTGTACCTATGTGTGGGAGTGTATGTTTTGTAAGTTTGCGTTGCTCGCGAATGTGCAAAGATGCAAACAGACACACACATTTTGTTTTTATTTTTGTTTGTATATCTTTTCATACCACTTTTTTAATAATTGCTTAATTTTATTCTACCCCTTTTTGTATTTTTTTTGTGCTGATTATAGAAAGCGAATGATGAGAAAGAAGTGAAAATTGAAGACATACCTGATTACAATTCTTTGAAAATCTTTGAAGACAAGAATTCAATTAGAATATATAACTTGATTCGAGAAACCAAAAGAACAAATGTGGCAAAGAGATCCAAAGCGACAAATTATATAGACCTAGAAAATTACTGCTTAGAAAAATTAAAGAACGTTGGGAAAGAGAAGAACAAGAGGGAAAAAACAAGAAATCTAAAGAGAATTCTGTTGGAAGATTACTACACAAGTTCAAATCATTTTAAAACAAAATTGACCTTGAAGTACTTTCTTCTAACATACGAAGAAGAAATGGAAGATAATCCTTTGAAAATTTTACCAAAACTTATAATTTAATCAATAAATTGTTTTGTTTTAATTATTTTATTTTTTTTAAAAAATTTTTATTTGTAATATTACTATTTAATGAAAAAAAAATGTGTAATTGATGACCAAAATAATATGTTTAAAGTTTTGGGATATACATATGTATATAAAGACATATGTGTATATATATATAGTTTTTTTTTCTTGCAATAAAATATAAATTTTTTAGAAATTTAAGGCAGTATATTATGCACACATATATATCACACCAAAAAATTCCCAGAAATATATTGTTTTAGAATTATGAACCATACAAATATATATTTCATTAATTTTTTAGTATAAATGTGTCCTTGATGCATTATGACATTTTTTTGTTTAAAAAATAATAATTGATATATTTTTATTATAAATTAGCTATCCCACCTAGCTATCTTTTTCTTCCTCCCTTTTTTTTTGCATGCAGCTAACTAAAGTAATTTTTTATAATAATATATATTAATTTATTTCAATGTATAATGTGTAATTCTTTTGCGACATTTTAATTCATGCATTTTTTTATGTTATGTTTTTATGGATATTGTTTTAACTGATATATTTTCTGCTACATTAAAAAATATACGCGTAAATTTGTATATAGTTCTTATATATCTTTATGCCCTTATATGCGGCCAATTTTTTTTTTTTTTTTTATATTTCTTACGCAAATTCGTAAAAAGATACTTAGCTTTCGTCTTATATCAGTTAAATAATTAACGCAATGTATAGTCATTAGCACATGGAGGAACATTGAAGCCCATGAGCTATAAGAAAAAACACAAAAATGGGTATGTCGCATATCGTTATATATACGAAACTTTAACAATTTTTTTTAACTAATTGTTAATAAAAATAATATTCTTCTGTTAGGAAAATCTTCAATAATAATGAAATCTTTTTTATTTTATTTTTTATTGTGGAAAATATTTCTTGTAACACTGAGTGCATTAAGTGTTACGCAGCCTTAAAAAAACATAATATAAAAAAAATAAACGAATTTAATAATCCCATATAATTTGAGTTCTTTTTTAATGTGTATAAAAGCGTCGCAGATTATATAATATAAATTATACAGCATTTTGTTTAACATCGCCTTGGAATTGTTCAAATAAATAAAAAAAATAATAATATCATGCCTCTTTATTTATGTGCTTTTCATCCATAGAAAATTGCCCAAAATTTTTCTTCCTCATCTAATAAGATAAATAAATAACAAATAGATATTAAACAAAGGGATACAACTGTATATCTGTTCAACAGAGTAATTTTCAAATGTAGCAATAAATTCCTGAATTTTTTCTACCCAATTTTCCGCCTAGGCAATCATTATTAAAGCGATGGGGATTTATGAACCCCGAATATAAGAATGTATAAGCGCAGAATATGCGCATGTTCTCAATTATGCAATCATTTTGAATAAGAATCAGATTCTTGCGCTATGTGCGCAGCGATTTATGTTGCAAAACATGTTGCTAACTTTCCTACTCATCTTACCTTCCCTCTGGCTTCCGATAGGTTACCGATTCGTAGAGCACTCACACATGGTTTGACAGTGAATAGAATTCTGCCGTGATGAAAAGATGAGGAAAACCATAGGAAAAAGATAAAAATTAGGCAAAATGTATCTGGAAAAAGAAGGAGAAGCTAATACCTCCTTAAATAAAAAACATTCGGAAGTCGAATTTTTTACGCCGAAGTCAAATTTAGCTCATGAGTGTCTTACCAGAAACGTAGCATTGGATAATTTACACACATATGTCAATACGAAGATTACAGATGATCAGTTGAAAAAACGAAAGGGGCATTCGAAAAGTTCTGCTCCTGCTGTAATAAAGAAAAATTTCCCCTCAAAGCAAAAGAACAAAGCGTGCTCAATTTTAAATTATATAAACGGATTTAACAATACGAGGAATATCTTCTTTGGAAAGGCAGCTACGGATGGCGCAAAAAGGAAAGGACATGTCGCCCCGAGAGGAGGCTCAATCAGAAAATTAAAAGAAAAGATATCAGATGTAAAAAAAAATAAAAGTGTCAAAAAAAGAATTTTTTCCGAGAGTACAACAAACATATTGTGGTACTTTAGAAATGTCGATATAAATAACAAAGAAAAAACCGACCTTCCTACCCATTGTGGTACAGATCAAAATGCTCACAATAGTTTAGATGATAAAACGTTTAAAGATTCTAACGGCAGAATTTATGCGCATGGAAATGGTGAGAATCACGCTGATGTAGATAACAATATTTATTACGGCGAGAATAATGTGCACTCAGGAGAGGGGGGAAACCTAAAAAGGGTATGGAGTGAAGATTACGAAAACAAAATGACAAGTGAAGGGAAAGTGAAATATCAATATGTTCAAAATAATGCCAAATTGGATTGTAACTACGAGGAATATTTGCAAACTGCTTACCTATATTGTAAGAAATATTTCCTGTACCGTAAAATGGAATGCTTCAGCAAGTATTTATTTTACCGTAAGAAGACCATAAAGAATTTTATTTTCCTAATTGAAGCCCTATTTTTGCGAAAGAAATACATAGATTTGCTGGACATGCTGCAGCGTTACAGGCGATTGTGGATGTTTTCTTACAAAGGTGTAAAGACAAAGCAGGAAGCTGAACTAAAGAACAATGCAAGGAACAAAATCGAAAAGGGGGACATATCAACAAAGGGAAGTAATTCTGAATGTGGAAAGAATTTCAATAAATTGATTTCTCATAAATACATTAAGAATACTTTTTTTAAGGTAGCTGTACAAAATGCCCCCACAGCCCTCGCAGGAGAAATGAGGAAAGTAGAGCATAGTAACATTTGCAATATTGAACACAGAGAAGTACACAAATTTAAGAAGCAAAAAAAAGAAAAAATGCATACACACAAAATGTATAACACCCAATTGCTTTGTAAACATAGAAATAATTATGAACTAAATAATGCCATTGGAGGCGTCATAAACGATGGGAAAATATGTAAAAAGAAAACTTGCAACAAGATATACTGCATATGCTATGTCGCCTTTGTAAAAATTATGTCGCTCATTAGAATGCAAAATCAAAACTGCTTAAACAGAGGCGTGAATTTTACACAAAAAATAAGTAAAAAATGTTTGCTCAATAAAAATGGCCATTATTTAACCCATGCAGTTATTCACTTGTATGAATTGGCAGGTTTGTATAATTACTCGCTGAAATATTCAATGATACTATTCTTGAAGTGTCCTGTCTATCCCCAAATTATTCTGAAGCTCTTCAGTTTTTCCATACTAAGCTTAAAAGATGAAATTTATTTAATTTTATTAGCGAAGTATTGTAAGAGCATTTCCTGGATGAAATATTTCTTCCTCTTCATTTTATATTCAGTGAATTATCAGTTTCGCAATAAAAAAATAGTTAGCAACTTTTTATTCTTACTGAATCGTGTCACAAAAGGAGGAAAAAACATTGCCAAACTGGCAAAAAAGAACAATTTTGCAAGAGAAATTTGCACAAAAAAGGGGGGGGAAAATTGCACCAAAAATACCCACGACGAATACACCCCCGGAGCGAAGAACTCGCTGTGCGGGTTTACACCTGATGAGCACAGCGAAAAAACGCACAATCGAAAAAGTGGTTACAACGGAATGGGGGAACAAATTGAACACAAGCAGTCGATTCAAACTAGGAAAGTCCCCATGCAAAGGATTTGGCAACTTACCTATGACATCGAAAGAAACGATAGGGGAGAATGTAAAGATGGGAGCGAATACGCAGGGGGAGAAAAAAGAAGACACGTTAACATCCCACAATATTTAAAAAGATGCTCGAGTAATCAAAACATGTACAGACATGAAGCAAACAGAAATGAGCATTTTTGCCGAAAAATAACATTGTACAGCTCTTTATATAGCAAGGTAACATTGTACGATGCGTATGTGTATATTGCACAAAATAAATTTTCAGATTATTTTCCAAAAATTTTCCTATATTCCAAATTGCATATAATAATCAATATTAAAAGAAGTTCTTATGAACAAAATTTTCCCATGTGTTATAGTTTAAGCAAACTGTTATTGATGGATCATATGTATGACTCCTCAGTAGTAGCATTTTTTGTTAACTCTGCTTATTTATTAAAAAAAGTTAGCGCTATAAAACGATTGGCTCAAGAATTAAAAAGAAACAATCAAAGGATTTGTTTTCTCTTTTGCAATGCAGCTTTGTTGTTACATTTTAAGCAAATCGAGCGATCTATTCAAATATATAAATATATTGTGGACTCATATCAGAACATTTTTTCTGATCTCTATTTTTATTCCTTGTTTAATTTAATATATGCCCTACAATTAACACAAAAGGCGCACCAAATTGTTATTTTTTGTAAAAATTTAAATAAGTTATTTTTTAATAATATAAATTCTTATATATTACTATCATACTATTATTTTGTAAATGACATCCCCACCAAATGTTACGCCTCGCTTAGGAGGGCTCATGACATATATCCATATCACCCTGATACGTTTTACCTCCTTTCTTTACTAGCGCTACAGGCTAAAAGGTAATGAAGTCAGTGTGTATATAGTTGCGGATTTTCATATGATGCCTTCTTCCCCAATTTAAAAACACGAATGTGTATACTCTTCTGCGCTCAGTGCGAATTACGCATGGAGGAGTTGGTACACAGTAGCAGCGCAATTTAGGAGAGTACAGCCTGCAGCGTAAATTTGGCGTCCTCGGCGGTATGCCATAGTGTAACATCTGTGTGCTGTATAATGATGGAAAGATTCCATGTATGGAAAAAAGTGCCAATCTAGCTTTGACGCGCGTTTGGCTTACACTCCCTCTATCAAATATAGCGACAAAACAACGAAGAGGTTGCCAGCACAAGAATCTTCGCATGGGCTCATTCGTATGAAGGCATGTGACTACGTCCCTGCGTGAATATTCTTATGTTTACAGACTTAAACACAAAAATGGCTTCCCGCCATTTTATTCATGCGTACCCATCTCTGCCCAGCAGAGACACGGCATAATAAACATACATCTTCCCCTTAGGTACGAAGAATACGGAGCCTTTAGCGAACTGGCCCTTTTTTTCAGTTTAAGAAACGGAAATCTTAGAAACTATGTCTTTTCCAACATTTATGGAAAGCAACATAAGCACGTTCCCTCTTATTTGTTAAGTTACCATTTGGAGATAATTGATTCCGACACAAGCACAACTTTGGGCATCCTCAATTTAAGCTCCCTCCTGAATTACGTGTACTTTGAAGGTTTAATAAAATGTTACATTATACTTCACTTTTGTTCGGCGAAAAGGTATGCAGAAAGAGGGTTGGGGTGAGTAAGATTGCACAATTTTTTCCGCGCTCCCTTCGTGGGAAAGAGGCTGCACGCGTGTATATGGGCATGCATACGTACATACATACGCGTACGTATGTACGCACATGAGTTTTGTCATGTCTGAATTCCGGAGACTCGTGTAGAATCCAGCTGACATTATTCAGAGAAGTTACATCATTGTGTCATCCAGAAAAATTGCGAAAAAAAACGCTTTCTTCTTTAGGTCCCATATAAACTATCTCATGCTAAGTAAAAATTTGGGCATCATGGCTGCAGAGTTTTTCCCACACAATTTAAGCCTATTACATAGTAAGTGGAAAAGGGCAATAGTGAAAAATGAAAAGGGTGAAACGAATCGCTTTGCAATGGTGATCCTATCTAGATAACCATTTTTATCGCTCACTTTCTATTTTCAGTATTGAAATATATCGATGATGCTAGACGAAGGGACAAGAAAAGGGAAGAAAAAGAAAAAAAGCCGAAATTCTGCATTAATAACGCTTACTAGGAGGAAGGCACAGGGAGAATTTTCCCCACGACGTAATTTTAAAATGGAGTTCATACATCTACTCAAATACATGTGGGTACTTAGCTGCATCCCTGCACTCTCACCGTCTGCTTAGCGAGCTATGATGCATTTTTGGAGAGTCCTAGCTGCCCACCGAATGGCCCTTGCAGGACATGGAACTGTAGCTTCTTTGACCGCATTACCTGAGATGTCACTTTGGCCCGACATGTGAAATGTACGTGTGTACGCACATGTGCATATGTATATATATATGTTTGCCCCTATGCGGGTCTGTTCATATGCTCTTATATATACACTTTTACATGAATCCATATGGACGAACGGGCAGAGCTCAAGGCTTATTCGCAGTTTTTGGTAATTTTTCGTTTTCACCACTTGCCGAATTACGCGGATAATGCGCATGTATTTGCGTGCACATGTATCTGGGCTGGTATCCATTTGTTTATGAGGACACGCCAGCGCTTTTGTCTCCCACGAAATGCAGTTAACTCTCTTACACCACTACTTGCGCACATGTAAGGGTGCACTTCACTTTTGTAAGAGCTACATCCGCAATGGCTAGACATGAAATGCGATTCACTTATAAGATTGAAATAGCGAATGCATGCGCTACTAGCACGAGAAACGGAGGAAAATACAAATATGAAAAAATAGGAAAAATAAGAGAAATAAGAAAAATAAGAAAAAATAAGATACATCGCTATGGCTGACCATGTCAGGGATCATTGAGATAACCGCTTCTAAAAGAAATGATTTCAAAGAAATGAAGTTTCGTTTATTTTTTCTCTACCATTTCTTTTTTTTTTTCGCGCAATGGAACGGGACCGAAGTTTTACACCAGCACTAAATTTTTCCATAAATGTAAATTTGTGGGAATAAAAGATTGGCGAGCTCTACACATTTTTTATCACACAAAAAGGTGTGATTGCAACATAGGAGATATTCTACCCTGCTGAATAGACTTTAGAAGGGATTTTTTTTTTCTCACTATTTCCACCGCAAGTGTTCAGTTTCACACACCGAAATTATTTTCACGGATGAATTTCCGCATGTAAAGCAAAAGGAAGAAAGGTGTGCTTCGCACTTTGTGCATGTGGTGTGTAATAAAGGCTGTTTTTGCCCTAACTCCATTTTGCATCACTATACATAGAGTGTATTCAACTTAAGAAGCTTTCTTCAACCCCCCTACTTTGCTTCCTCCCAAAATGAACATCATTGAGTCCAATAGGGAAAAGGAGAGGATAAGCCTACACAGCCATATTAATGGCTTGGGGCTCGATGCGGACGGGTTCGTGCAGGACTTGAACTTTGAGCAGAAAAAAAGGAAAAGCGGCAAAATGGGCCTCAATGGGTTGATGAATGGGCAGCCTAATGGGGCCGTAAATGGACACGCAAACCCCGATGACGCATTATGTAACGAATTCACGCGTAACGGAATGGGGGCAAATAGTGAACTTAATGGGTACGCCGACACAAATGGAGAGTGCACTCATCCCCAGGAAGAAAGCGACGAGGAAGTATATCGAAACTTTTATAATTGCAAGGGAATGATTGGACAAAAGAAAGCGAGAGAAGCCGCAGGAATATTTATCAATCTAATTAAGGAAAAAAATATATGCAAATGTTTGCTCTTAGCAGGCCCCAGTGGAAGCGGAAAAACAGCCATAGCAATAGCTATAAGCAAAGAAATTAGCGAAGATTCCATCCCCTTTTGCATCTTTAACGCATCTCAGGTATACTCTTGTGAAGTAAAAAAAACAGAAATATTAACTCAATATATAAGGAAAAGTATTGGCGTAAAAATAAAAGAAATTAAAGAAGTGTTTGAGGGTGAAGTCATCAAGATTGAACCATTTTATGATGATACATACGAAGAAAAAAAAATTTCCTATGTACATATTACCTTGAAGACTTTGAAGGAGCAGAAAAAAATAAAAATACACTCATCTATTTATGAAAATATTGTCAAAGAAAAAATTCAAGAAAAAGATATTATATATATTGAATCACACAGCGGGTTAGTCAAGCGGGTCGGAAAATGCAGCTTATACCAAGATATGTTTGACATCGAGACGGACACGTTTGTTGACTTGCCTAAAGGAAACGTGCATAAGAAAAAAAATATCATTCAAAATGTTACCCTTTACGATTTAGATATATCTAATGTGCAGCCAAAGGATAATATTCTCAATTTTTTGCAAAACTCTAAATCCAAAAAAACAGAAATTACGGATAAACTGAGAAATGAAATTAACAAAATTGTTTATAAGTATGTCGACCAGGGGATTGCTCAAATAATACCGGGAGTTCTCTTCATTGACGAGGTGCCAATTTTTTCACTCAAAAAAAGTGAAGTGAAATGAAGTGCAACAAAATAACGCAGAACAAATTAAAAAAACCTCATGTGTGCTGCCAATGACATCCACACTCCGTTCCCTTCGAATCAATTTGCACATTTTTGCTTCTGTCAAATACGCTGCACGAAAAAAAAAAGAAAAAAAAGAAAGAAAGGCAGTCCCCTCACCTACAGGTGAACCCCAGTTGCATTCCCCATTCGTTCCTTATCAATTCCGCAGGTCCATATGCTAGACATTGAGTGCTTCACTTACTTGAACCGAACTTTGGAATCCAACTTGGCCCCCATAGTAATTTTGGCCACAAATCGGGGAATATGCAACATAAAAGGTATCCTTTCTATTTCTTTAACGGCTAACCATACGCAGGCATGTATAAGGGCACATGTCTGCGTGTACACGCTCGTTCGTTCTCATTCACTTACACCTACACACTCGCGTAATCACACTCATTTGCCAATACGCGCCACTCAGGTACGAACATCATATCGGCCCACGGAATCCCCGTTGACTTGTTGGACCGAATCATAATTGTTAAGACGATGTTGTACAATAAGGAGGAAATACTGCAGGTATGCATAGGTGCAAGCGGGCTCGGCTTGTAAACCCACGTACACATATGGACTGCGTATGCGTCTGCATTGTGCCGTCGACGAACCTCCAGCCTAGGCACTTCACTCCCTTTAACAAAACCGCTTCTCATTTTTGCATTTCCACTGTTCGCACCTTTTCTCTTGCCTCTCCACCTTTAAGGTTCTAAAACTGAGGTGCAAATTTGAGAAAATAAAAATCGAAAACGAAGCCTTAAATTATTTGGCGGACATAGGTAAATCAAACAAAGTAGGAGAAAGTGCAGTTGTGTGTGTGGGTGTTTGTGGGGGCGTCGTCTGCTGTTTTCATTTCGACGTGTTGACTCCTCTATGTTGACCCTTCCGTGTTCAGTTTTCTGCGCATCTGTTTATTTTATTACAATTTTTCTCTGCCCCATTTTTTCCCCTGCGCAGGCATCCAGTGTTCTCTAAGATACGCCATTCAACTTTTAACCCCCGCGAAAATATTATCCAAAAGAAAAGGGAAAAAACGGATAAATAAAAGCATCGTAGAAATCGTTTCCTCCATTTTTTTTGATACAAAAAGATCCACGCAGCTTCTCTTGGATGACAAAAATAAATATTTGTATTAGTTTGCTACTTGAATGTAATAAGCACCAATTGTCTTTACGTCTTATTTTAAAAAAATAGGACGAAACTAATGTGTTACCCAATTTCGTTTCCTGCGGAGGGGGGCTTAACTAGAACGGCGATGTGTGCACGTCAATTCGTATGGTTACGTGACTTTGTACACTAACAAGTGTTGTCATAAATGTGCATTTAAGTGTGTATTTTCCTTCCGAACTTCACTGTATGCAAGCAGGAACGTCCCCTGTTTTGATAAATTTACCTTATATCTAGGAAAGAAAAAGAAAAAAATCCATTTAAGCGATACTTTTTATTGTCCATTTTGTTTCATTCTGTTCAATAATTAAACGTGCCAAAATGAGGGGAAAAATGTACGTGAATTTTCACCTTTTGCACACCTATAAATTAAAAAAAGGCGCGAGAAATAATCCCAGCTTTCCCCGTCGGCCTTTTGTCCTTCCTGCGGCACATTGCTAACATGGCAATTTCTTTTTACTTCATTTATTTATCTGCCTTAGTTTTTATTTTTTTCCCACTTAAATGAATTTTTCCCTTAAATTTTTTTTGTCCTTTTCCGCACCAGACATTCCTTTGTGACAAAGTGACACTCCTATAGCCCTTTTTATCGTTTAAAAAGAAAAAGATATCGTTAAATTATCTTGTACAAATAATTTTCTCGCAAAAAGGGATTACGAGATTAACGACGTTAAAATGTTCGTGAAGGGTTTAAATGGCTAACCTGTGTATATTACAAACACTAATGTCAAAAATAGATATTTTCATCGCAACTGTATTGCGCATAAGGGGTGGTTCCCTCAGAAGATCCTTCAGATGAAACAGTTCGCACTCTCCCGCCGTCACAATTGAGAAATGGAGTGATTTATTTGAAAAATGTGCTAAATATTGTTTAAAGAAAAAAAAAATAATTTATATTGCCATGATTTGACCGCATATTTTTACATATAAATTTTTATTATCATCCGTTTTCCTCTGGTATTTCTTCCCTTTTATGGCCCCGTTTGTTACTACTATTTCCTTGTTAAGTCTTCCGGCAAGTTGAGTACGCTTTGGCTCCATTTACAGCTTTGCGCACAAGTTCGAATCGCGCGCCATCCGAGAGGAAATAATTGAATTTGCATTTCTGCTTTGCGTCGGCCGAATGGTTCGAAGTGTATGATAAAGGCAAATCTGGAAAAGTTCAGCTGGAAATAAAAATGGGAACACGGAGATAGCAATTGTTTTAAAGTTTCCCATACCTTGCATAAATAGGCACACGCATGTGCATACGTATACATGTGTACGCGGAATGCAGTTAGCCACAATTCTGAAGGCATCACACATATGCGGGCACTTTTCACATGTTAATTCATCCCATTTTTCTTTTTTTTCTTTTTTGCAAGATGTAATGTGCGAAAGGGTGAAAATAGTTTTTATGAGAAAATCGCGAAAAGTAGATCATTAATTAATATATGATAGGGTAGAGGCGCAAGGTCCTTTTTTTTTTTTTTTTTTTGTAAAATGTCAGCAGATTCCTCTCCTGCGGTAGTACCCTTTGGGCTTTTTTAAGTGGGATGCATTACTAGCTTATTTTATTTCAAACTTATTCTCTTATTCCTTCCTTTTCCATTTCGACCATTTTGTCCTTTATGTTTCGCTAAAGTTTGAAATAAGACAAACGGAAGGGTGGGTAAAAATAAGCAAAAGCTGGCGGAGAGACTAACGAACGAATTAATAAATGGGTGAGTGGAGCACAGAAGTGCAGTGGAACGCATTCAGAGAGGTCTCCATGGCTGGTTAGCTTTATCGAGCTACAATTTTCTGCAGTACCCAAAAAGGACCATGTGACTCCTTTTTTTTTTTTTCTTTTCTTTGGAGCCATTTTGTCGAGCACTTTTTTGAAGTTCTTTTTTAATTTTTAAGGATGCTCTGCGGAAAAAATGGTTGCCAGAAAAATAGTACTTGAAATAGACAAATGCAAAGGGGGCACGAAGGAGCGAACCCGAGTAACCTGGTAAGGCTGCTAACACGGCTAAAACTGCATACACGGCTAAAACTCCTAACACGGCTAAAACTGCTAACACTGCTAAAACTTCTAACACTGCTAAAACTGCTAAAACTGCTAATACGGCTAAAACTGCTAGCACTGCTTGCTTGTTGAGCCGGCAGACGAAAGAACCAAGCGACCAAGCAGTCGAGTGAGCTACGGCATAATAGGCAGCTGGAACAGGCACCGACGAAAATGATAAGGAAAGAGTCCAATATATACGAGAAGCTGGACCGGATAGTGTCCGATGTGTTGCGAAACATAGATGCAGAGGCACATGACCGGGGGAGTACAAATTATCTGGATGAAAAAAACACAAACGAACGGGTGTATAAAAAATTCTTCGAACTCTTTAACAGAGAGAGTTACTTAGAAAAACTAACACATGACGAATTAGTGGCAACATATAAAGACAAAAATGCACACAAATATCTATTTTACATGTTCGAGTGTTTGCTTAATAAAATCACCCAAACGAGGAATGTAAGACACCTAGATTTTTTATTTCTCATACTGAGATACATTACGTATCTGTGGCTTTTGCTATCCAACGATGACAAATTAGTTTTAATATTCTACTACTATTTCAAGTTTGTGGATTTGCTGTTTAATTTAAAATTTGTGAGATGTTCCTTTTTTGTGAATATTTACAATTTGTTGATTTATTTTTATATGAAAGATAAAAGGAGAAAAAAAAAAAAAATTGTCTTTCCAGTAAAAAAATTAACGGAAAAGGAAGCAGGCTTCCACATAAGAAATGTCATATCCGAATTGAACAAAATAATTGCAAATGAGAATGCTCATTTTATTGAGACTGTTGGGAAGGAAAACAATTTTGTGAGTCTCCAAAGTGATCTTCTGTCATATGGAAAGGAACAAAGGAACGATTTGCCACCAAATGCGGAAGAAGATGCATCTACATGCGCAGGGATGCAAAATGTGTATGATTACCTATGGGTTGGCTATAATCGAGGGGAAATCCAGCCTAAGGAAAAGAAACATAAAAATAAACATACAGAAAAGGTGAAATCAGATGGTGCTGAGGAAGAAAAGTCATTTTTCCTCATAACAAAATGTCGAAATTGGAATAATGAGAGTTCTACCTTTCCAATTTTCAGCCTTTTCCCAGTTAGTAGCTCATATAATCTCTTTTTAAACATTACGAAGCATTTGTTCAAAATTAGTGTCTACGATTTTGGTACCTTTTTCCCCTTCCTAAGTATGCTTAACATGGAATTTCTACTTTCCCATTTTCACCTTTTTGAAATTCTGCACTATGTCCAACTGGAGGAGGTGAACTCGAACATAAGTGACTCCAAAAACAAAACAAAAATTGTGTCAATTAGTTCGAGCCAACCTACGCCTTACAAAGCGAATGAGCAATTCACCACAGAAGGGAAGAAATCCCCCGCAAACAACGATGGGATTTTTTCAAATAATAATAAAAGTAACAAGAAAATTTTGTGGAATATCCTTTTTGAAGAGCTAAAAAAGGTATACATGGTAGACACGAAAAATGTGAATTATACATTAAAAATATTAAAGTACTCTTTTAGCTTTTTTCTGTTTGAGGAAAAATTTGCAATAAAAAGTAAAGAATGGGGAACTCGCGTGACAAATAAAAAACAACACACCTTCGCACTCATTTCGCAAATATATTTAAAAGAGTTACTAAAATTTAGCCTATCCTTTGTGAATAATTTAATGAGCTCTAGAACGCTAAATGAGGAAGTCGTCTTTAAGGCAATTTCGTACGTGTTTTATTTGCTTTCGAAATTGATATGCAACACGAGTAATAACTTAAGAAAGCACATTCTGCTCAATAACGATAATAATCTCACACTCGTTGCATTAATAACGTATATTTATAAATACTTCAAAAGGGTTTACTTGGACAAGAACGCAGCTGGAGATGTTCACAAGGGGAGCGGTAGCACGGTTGGAAGTGGTGGAGGTCAAAATAAATTGAAGTACACATTCGTGACGCTCCAGAAAGTGTACCAGAAAATTCAAGAGTGCTTGTACATCGTCCTAACCGTTGACAAATTTGTTGAAGGGAATGCCAAAAAAAAGTTAGCGCAATGTAGTGATGGAGCGATGCCCCATTTGGACGGGCATCACGGCCCGAGACAGCATGCAGATAGCTGCGACCTGTACTTTTGTATCACTATCAAGATCAACAAAATGAACATGTTCTATTCCAATTTGGACATTATCAAAATGCTTTCAGAGAAGGACAAGAGCGTGTTCAGGAAATATATATACACTATTAACAAGAACAATGAAAATTTTGGCTCTTTTTTTTCGTGTTTACTAAATATTGATTATAGCGAAAATCAGTATGACTTGGTTTTAAAAAGGTACATCTCCAATTTGAAGGAGAAAAAAAATTATAAAAATAAAAAGTTAATCAAGCTAATGAAGCCTTACCATTCCCCCCTCAAGTACATCATTTTGAAAAATGAAATTGACCAAGATGGGGCAAAAAAGAGTTCCGTAAGGAAAAGCACTCTGGCAGTGAATTCCTCTCATAGGAATTACGATATTCATACTTTGGGTGGTGATAAGCGGAAGGTTATTGACTTTCGAGCCAAAAGGAAGAGCATGTACGAGTTTGGCAGAGGTCAAAAGGAGAGTCATGATTCCAGCCCCCTCCAAGGTGACGACGGGATAGATGGAGACTCAGCAGATGGTCACAGAGTAGATGGCATCGCAACCGATGAAACTTCATGCGATGATGACCAAACTGATGATGACCCAACCGATAGTAGCCCCACCGATGAAGACTCAGACGATGGCGAAGAGAGCGAACCGAGTGACAACCCCGTAAGCTTCCCACGCAGTTGCCCTAAGGACTACTTTTCCGACGGACTGAAGCGCGCGAAAGCTTCCAGCCCCCAAGCAAAGGTGAAAAAAAAAGACATGCCGATATTTGAAAATTCGATCCTTCGAATCAAGAAGAAGCAGCTGGACAGAACCAACATAGATTTTAAAAACGTGTGCCATAGTATCACTCTGACCATTAAAAGGTGCATACTCATCTCAGACAGTATGATTACCTACTTCAAAACTCACCAAGAGTTTGAAGCTAACTTTAACATTTACGTGTGCAAAAATATATTTATTAATTTTTTAAGAGTTTGCCTCCTAAGCGCCAGTCTCTTTTCGTACCTCTGCGTTAAGCTTAACTATGACGAGATGCTGAAGCAGATGTATGACTCGAATTTTATCATAATGTCGTACAATATTTTTGACAAATATATCTGTTTCGTGTTGGACCAAGACGTCAAACGGTTGCACAAGTATAAGAATGTGTTGCAGGTGTATACCAGGCGGATGAATAGGGGGGAGGCAGGAGCTGGGCGTTCCGCTGGGGCCACCTCCTCGGTGAATCCGCCGAGCGCGGCGAAGGAGCAGAAAGAAGCCTTTTGCACGGTTACAGCATCTACGAACGCTTATTCCTCGTCTCACGCGCAGCTGCACCGGGATGATTTATACGACGTTCTGGGCGCCAGGGAGAGCCAACGCGGGAGAACCTTCTTACTGTCGGACCAAGATGAATTCATCGAGACGCTTTATCTCAACACGTTCATGATTGTGATAAACATCATCTCGGTGTGGGAAATGTACCTAGAAATTCCTATAGAAGTTCTAAACAAAATGAAGTACACCTTTTTCGAGCTATTTTACAACACCACAATTAAAATCATAAAATTTATAAAAAAGGATAAGGGGTTTTTCTTCCTATTGAACATTTTAAAGTTCATTTATTTCAAATTTCTCAGCCTTCCTTTTAATCCAATAAACATACACACCACAATAAAGCTGCACGACTTTTACGAGTTTCTCATTAATGCTGGTGACGAAGATGTGAAGAAAGAGGAGGAGCAAAAATTTAATAGTGAAAATATGTACCTAAATTCGATTAGCCCTGTGAAATTTTTGAATAATCCAGAGAATGACACACAGAGGAAGAACCTTACCAGTGTACAAAAATTAAGCGTAAGCTGTGATGACCGTGTACTGTCAAACGAGCATGATTACAATGTGCTTAGTGTAAATAAAAAGAAGAGGGTAAGCATGGGCGGTTTAGTTCCCGTGTTTTTAAATAACAACACCACCAAGAAGAGAAGGACGAACATTTACCCGTACACTTCATATGACAGCTTTGAAAATTACAATAACCGTTCCTACTGCACGGTGAGGAACGGCGCCACTACGGGTCACGCACACATGGGTGATAAAACAAGCGCGAGGGTAAACTACGATCTGCGCGAAGGAGAATACGAAAGTGAAAATGTTAATCTTAATGACAATGTTAATGACAATGGCAATGACTATGTCAATGCGACACCGAAACGTAATTATAACTATGCACAACCAGGCGAACGAAAAGAAAGCGACATTTTCAGAAATACCTACCTGAGCAACTACTACATCCCACACATTGATCTCCTATTCATCATTGTCGATTTGGAAGTCTTTTACTACTTCGAAAAGAAGGAGTATAAGAAAATAATCGTTTCCGTGGAGAACGTCTTCAAAAGCATTATCAGCAAATGTGATTACAACACCAAGGAGTATTTACGATCGTCCATTTCCTACATTTACAACTGCTACCAACAAGTGCATCTCCATGACAGCAAAATTAACATCCAAAGTTGCATCGTTATTAGGCACATATTTAACCTTTACATGAAATCTAAGGTCTTCTATTTGAGCAAAAAAATTAAAAAAAAATTAGGACACTACAAGGATAGCTACACCAATGATGGGGTGCTAAAAATGGGTTATAACAAAATTTATAATAGCCTTTTTAGCAGCGAAAAGTGGAAGAACTTTTTTTACATCCTCTACGAAAGTGACAACCTAGGACGAAACAAAAGAGTGAAAATTATCAACAATCTGCTGACTGTACATATAAACACTCTGCTTTTCTTGATATTTTATGAATACCTATCCAAGTATGTAACTAAAAAGTTCATATTTTTCTTCCGATTCTTCCTATTTCTGTTTAACAAATTATGTGTTGCCATTCTAAGTTTGGTGAATTCGTCAAACCATCTGGAAATTTTTAACCTTTTCGATTGGCGAAATATTACCCAAGGAAACCACGCACAAGAAGAGGAAGAACTGGCTAACAAGGTAAGGAGTGCCATTCGTCTCATTCAAACCGGCTCCATATACCCAAAGGATGAGGAAATATCTCCCTACAAAATTTACACCAGGGGGGGAAGACACACCGACGGCAGAAGTAAGCCAATTGTCATGATCGACATTGATGAGCTGCTAGTCACCTACATCCAGCTAAATTTTACGTTTTGCAGATCGTGCTGCTTTTTCATTTTCTTCAAAAATGTCTGCTCGCAAAAGTATGAAATAATTTTTAGGGAGAATTTCACTAGTAACTATTTTGAGCGCTTTAAGAATAACCGAGATTTGTTCGACCCCATGGATGCTGTAAAGGAGGGGAAGACGGGACGAAATGACCATTCGTGTGGGGAAAGCCACACCGAAGAAGAGTTAACCCCCTATGAGGAATCAACTCTAAATGACTCCTTTGACGAAGACTCGGATGACAACTACAGAAGCGATTCCAGCAGCTCAGGTCTTTCCCAGTCCAGCTTCACCCTCATAGAGTATACAAACTATTGCAACAGCGTAGATTATATTTTCCTAGAATTTATTTTAGAAAAAATAGAAGAAATGGACGTAGAATATTACTACAGGAATGTACTTAAGAATTGTTACTACGTGATAAAAATAGAAACACTTTATAATTACATATACAAGAATGAGCAACTGTTAAGCAGATTTGCTTGCCTAAATAATGTGTATTATTTGTACAAGCTGTACTATCACATGTTTGTGTGGTCCCGCAATAAGAGCCATGCCATGGGTAAGAAGAACATCGATGCGGAAGGAATCAACGGGAAGGAAAATTTATCCAGCCTGTACAATGACATCTTTTACATCTTCGACGTGAACCGCATCTTAGGGGAAACCTTCTGCAGCAGGTATGTGCATCTAGTTGACCAGCTGGGGGCCTCCGATTTCACCCCTAGTGGAACACCTGATAAAAATGGCAGAAATTCCTCCTACGGATGCACAAATGATTCTCTCTCAACTCACCGGAGAAGTATCGAAGAATCGCCCTACTTCCTGTGTGACATTTACAACTTCAAATTGAAATTGTTCCACCCTATAAATTTTGAAAAAAGAGACTTGCCCAAAGGAAGGAGAAAAAACCCATTCGATAACTTTCCAATGGTTAACAAAAATTATCTCCTTAACTTGAAGCAGAAGCATGCCAAAGTGAACAAGTA